CAAACGCGCAGCAGCTCCGCGGATGAGATTAGCGGGTTATAAACTCTCCGCTGTGTTTACTGGCGGAGCGCAGAGGTCGATACCACACAAACCCGCCGGTTTAACCCTGTCCGGCACCCGCTCAGTTGCCGTTTTGCTCGCGACGCTCCGGGCTGAAGGGTTTGGAGGAACCCCGATCCCAAACTCGCAGCTTCCCGCTTATCCCTTCCTCCCAGCACCCCGTGGCCCCGTGCCCACCTCCCCAAAATTTTAGGCCTTTCCCAACCCATCCTCTTCCACCGCTGCTTGAAAGTGGGGACTTGAGATACCTCTCGACTCTTCCCTTCCTTGAAGAGCCTCATCTAGACGGGGTGGTGGAGCAGACTCCACGCTTGACCGATTTAGGGGTGAATTCGTGGGAGCTGAGGGGCAGAGAGGTTTAGGAAATTACATCATTTAAACAGCGCACTTCCAAGTGGTACCTATGGAGCCCTGTTCCCTGTGGATTCGCTAGTGTCTAATAGTACGGTTGGGTGCCTGCTCCACCCTTTTCAGTGCCCCAGCGCAGGGCGTTCATTTGCGTTTGCTTTTTTCTATACTCAGCTCCTATTCGTGCAAGACGTTTTGATGTCTAATATCTTTGAGGCTTCTGCGTTTCTGTCAAATTGGTTGAAAGGGCCATCTGGTTAAAAAGCGGTTAGACCAACACGCGAGCACAGCAAGGCCTTTCCCGCTCAAGCTTTGGAAACTGGGCTAAAAATCTTATAAAAGTCGCATTCATACCTACGATGCTACAGAAAGCCTTGTGCCTGCAGGAAGCTGCAGGAACTGCGCTGCTCTACCTCTTTCCTATCAGTGTTTGAATGTTTAGCCGTGCAGTAGCAATCCTTTTCATTACTAACATTTAATCAATACTCCTCAAAGGCTTAATGTGAAGAATAGTCATTACTGAAGGAAGACTGACAGTATTTGGCCTGCAGCATTAAGCGATTAACAAACGAGGAGGAGAGCTTCAATGCTTGCAGAAGAGACTGACGATTTAACCAACAGCTTTTACTGAGAGGAAAAGGCTTTGAACTATCTTCCTCCCGAGAGGTGCCACGTCCTGTGGGGGAACCTCAAAGGAAGAGATGCAAAATCACATTTAATCATCCTATTTTCTTCTTTTTTGGGAAGGGAGGGTGTTGTAAAGGGGTTGCAAAACAGAGGTGGCTCAGAGGCGATGCAAACCCCAAAAGCATAGGCAGTGCTATCTGCTCACGGACTGCGCTCAACATGCCAGCAGGGAAAAGGGAGCAGCGAATAGCCGGGCAAACAGGCTTTGAAAATAAGCAAGTGGGGACCACACAGCAAGGCATGGGCATGAGCAGAGAAACCCCAGTTCCATCCCTGCCTTAGGAGCAGATTCCTGGGATCTGTTTTTTTGGCAGTTCCCCTTCTCCCCTTCTGCCTCCGGGCAGGTTTTGCAGAGGGACACCCTTCCAGGAACGAAGATTAAGGAGATGAGCTGTGGAGTCTAGATGCACATGCCTTGCTCGGAAATTGGTGCAATATGAGCCTCCCTGGCACGTCACTGGATTTGTGGCAGTGGGGAACTGAGCTAACCAGCTGGTGATTGAAGGCAAATGCTACGTAGAGTTTCAGATCCATGTGATATGATGCACCAGCATTGCCCGGGGGAATGCAGAAACCACGGAAAATTTGGGCTGGTGAGGTCCCCAAGAGGTTATCCAGCTGTTCCTCTTGCCTACAGTGGGATCAGCTCGGGCTGAGTCACTCCTGAGCAATGCTTGTTCATCCTGTTCTTCAAAAACCTCCACTGCTGGCAACCCACCTCCCCCCTGGGCGACTGGCTGAGTCTATCCCTATCATCAGAAAGATTTTTCCCTTGTTAGACATAAATCTCCCATCATGCTCATCCCAATGTCCCTGCTGGCCACGCTAATCCACACCCGTTCCTCCTCCCTTGG